CCGAACCCACCCGGGGTACTAATATACTCGATTTTAGTTCTGTCGAACAGAGAAAACCTCATTAGCAATGTCGAGGTAGGGAACGAACTTGCAAACAGAGATCACAAAGAAATTAGATTCCAGTTAGATTTTCAGGGCAGACGTAAGGAAAATTCCACTAAAGTACAAGATTTCAGAAGGGCAAACTTTGACAGTTTAAAGAGGCAGCTGAGAGAGGGGGTGTCGCGCTTGGCCGTGAACCGGACAGATGATTCCGACCTGATAACGAGATCTGAGAATGCCGAGTTCCACGACAATTTAAATAATGAGTTACTTAATGCACAAAGGCAGAACATACCATACAAAAAACTCAGATCAGACAACAATGACCCTAAATGGATAAATAATTATTTAAAGAACATCATTGGCCAAAGGAAGGCTATAGGTAGAAGGATAAAGCGTGGCGAAATTTACCTCCAGGATTATTATAAGATATTGGCAAGTAGGGTTACAACCGAGATAAGGAAAGCCAAGAGGAATAATGAGGTAAGGATAGCAAGGGAGGCGAAGACAAACCCCAAAGGATTCTAACAAATGTATCAAACTAAAACACGAGAAAAGATTGGACCAATACGGTCAGATACCGCCGAGCTCACTGATAACGACGGAGAAATGAGCAATAATTTGAATAAATATTTTTCAACAGTTTTCACCACCGAAAATTTAAACATGATACCCGAGGCACCGACTCTATTCAGAGATAGTGAAGAAAACAAATTTAGCGAGATAGTAGTGACTAGTAACGATGTTAGTAAGCAAATAGACAAACTAAAGCCTAATAAGTCACCTGGTCCCAATGAGATATTTGCCAGAGTATAAAAGGAATGTAAGGAAGAGCTTAGTATGCCCTTAGCAAAGTTGTTTAACATGTCCTTAAAAACAGGTGTAGTACCAGAATCCTGGAGGATAGCGAATGTAATACCGATTTTCAAGAAGGGGGATAGATCACTATCCTCTAACTAATGCCCAATCAGTCTAACATCAATATTAGGAAAATTACTAGAAGCAATCATTTCAAACTCTATTCGAAATCACCTGGAGAAGCACCGATTGATCAATGATTCCCAGCATGGCTTTACAAGCGGACGTTCATGTCTAACTAATCTATTAACATTCTTTTCACCAGTTTTCGAATCGGTGGACGAGGGGCACAATTATGATGTGGTATATCTCGACTTTAGCAAAGCCTTCGACAGAGTCCCCCACGAAAGACTAATTAGAAAAGTAGAAGCACATGGCATCAAAGGTAACGTCCTTAAATGGATTAGGGCGTGGTTACAGGACAGGAAACAGCGAGTGAGCATTAACGGCACTAAGTCCCATTGGAGCAACGTCACAAGTGGAGTTCCCCAAGGCTCAGTACTTGGACCATTATTATGTATTATATACATAAACGACATAGATATCGGCATAGACAGCAACATAAGTAAATTTGCTGATGACACTAAAATAGGACGTGTTATTAAATCTGACGAGGACTCCGCAAAACTACAGGAAGATCTAAACAAATTTTTTGAATGGTCTGAAAAATGGCAGATGAAATTCAACATGGACAAATGTAAAGTACTCAGTATAGGAGATGTAAACAGGGAAACCAGATACCAGATGAACAAGGATGCCATAGAGAAATCCGACTGCGAGAGAGATTTAGGAGTAATGATAAGTAGGAACCTTAAGCCAAGTAAACAATGTGTTTTTGCTCGTAACAAGGCTAATAAAGTACTTGGGTTCATACAAAGGAGTGTTAGTTACAAGACTAGCGAGGTCATCCTAAAACTGTATCTTGCGCTTGTGAGACCACACCTGGATTACGCAGTTCAGTTTTGGTCACCGTATTACAGAATGGATATAGAATTCTTGGAAGGAATTCAGAGGAAAATGACAAGACTAATCCCGGGCAGTAGGAACCTTGAGTACAAAGACAGGTTAAAGCATCTTAATTTGCACTCCCTCGAGAGACGTAGAGCGAGGGGCCACCTGATAGAGGTGTATAAGTGGAAGTCAGGGATAAACAAAGGGGACATTACAAAGGTACTCAAACTATCCAACCAGGAGCGAACTCGTAACAATGGTTTTAAATTAGACAAATTTAGATTTAGACGTGAAGTAGGTAAACACTGGTTTGGAAACAGAGTAGTGGATGAATGGAAAAAGTTACCAGATATCATCATTAACTCGAATACGCTGAATAGCTTCAAACATATGTTGGATGCTTATATGAGCAATAGGGGTTGGGTGTAAACGGGACTGCCCAGTATGGGCCAATAGGCCCGCTGCAGTGTCCTCCATTCTTATGTTCTTATGAATGAATACACTTCCCACAGTAGGTAATTCACCCTAGGGATAGTTCTGACAAGACTCACGTGTACCCTGACGTAGGCCCAGCGGGTGCTTGGCTGGGCTGCCGTATGCGATGCTCTCCTTAGCTGGTGACGTCGTGAAGTCTCCCCCCCCGATCTGGGGGGGGACGAGCGTGACTCTGTGCGAGTGACCAGAATGACCTCTCAATGACCAACCTCTCTGAATGATAGTCGTGTGAGAATCACGATGAGAATCGGAATCAGAATGATCGTGGACGGGACTGTAGGGCCTTTATATGGGGTCGGCCCAGCCGGCTTTTGACCTCTAACCAATTATCTCTAAGCTGGTTAGATCCGGATTGCTGTGTGCAGGTGTGGTCATGCCCAGGTGTCTTGGTCAGGTGAGTTGTAGGTCAAGCCCCCGCTAATTCAAGTCATTAGCGGCGAGGTCGGGTCCCTTGGGTCTTGGGGTGTGTCTACCTGGAATGTGGTGGTACCACGAGGTCTCTAGCATACTTGCTGTTATATGTGACGTAATTCTCGGCTGTAAGCTTTGGTCTGACAAACAATCATTACACCTCCCGCCAGGACCAAAGCTTCATCACAGAGACTGATGACACATATAGACAGCAACATCACATGTAGTATCAAAGATAGTCCCTGGGGTGATAACATAGTCTCACATTTACAAACAACAATCTCATAGGTGTATGTTTTTTCTACTGGCGCTAGTTTGATCTGGCAAAGCTCACTATACCTCCCGCCAAGATCAAAGCTTCTATGCCAGGAGAAAAAGGAAACATAGCAAAAGAACATAGAATGAAAAAATCCTTCATATCTAGCATTGTATCCGAGACAAACTTGCAAATCAAAACAACAACAGGTGTTACATCTCCTTATCAGCCCATGTCAAAATAATAATTCATCTCAGTCAGTAATATGGCTACAACATCGTGTTTCATAGTGCAGAACATTGATCAAATGATCTTAGAAAAAAGTGAGACTAAAAAATACATTCTTTGTAGTAAACATCAACAAAAATCAGAGAAAATACTTCAAAATACACAAAAATTGTTCCTACTTCACATGTTAGGGTTTTTATATATTTTTATTATACATCAACAACATCGACAACATCAGTACATTAGTTGGGTCCGGCATGGCTCATGTCTTCCATCCAGCTGGTATCTGAAAAATAGGGAATGCTGGCAGTACAGCAGCTGTTGTGGGTTGTTCGTTCTGATGATCCACCTCTTCATCGCCGTCTTTCTTCTTATTTCAGCACAGCACATCTTCTGTTTTCTTTCTTCAATACACGTCTTCTGTCTTGTTTCCTCACATAGCACGTTTTTCTTCAATACCGCACCTTGTAGGTCGTTTCTCCACACCTTCTGACTTCTCACTTCCTCCTGGTTTCTATACTATTCCAGACGAGTTTTCTGTCCCATCTGCGTTCTTCCTCTACGTTTAGAGCCTCATTTTCAACATATTCCAGACGATTTTCTGTTCATCTGCCGTCGGCCCCCTCCGGCCGGAATGAAGGCCGGTCCACTGCTTGGGCTGTCGCCTCCTTAGACGACTCGTAAGGCAGGTTCCGCGGACCAGGGCTCGCCCTCCGTACGCGAGTGTCGGCGAGACCAAAGACCGTCCTGTCTTACACCTTCCACAGTGGTGAATCCCTCCCTGGCTGGGCTCACCAGGGTTCGTTATATGGCGCTGCATTCCACACTCCTTAACTTCCTAAAGTAGAAAAATATAAAATCTTCTTAATCCTAGACCAAGGGAGGACTTGAAAGAAGTGACGTGGTGTGTGGTGGGTTGCGTGCTGCATTCATCACGCAGCATTCATCACGCTGCATTCGTCACGCTGCATCTTCTCTGCTCATATGTACTGTGGATGACGTCCAGCTGTGCATGAGGCGGTACTGTGTGTGACATTTGACAGAGAAAGAATCCTAAAGGGATGATGGACCAGTTGGAAGTGCATTCACAAAAAAAAATATTTACTTTATACGTTACGTCAATGTTTGGCAACTATGGTTTCCGTCACGACAATGTTCTCATCAGGCTGGATCAGGGAGTGAAGCTCTGCACACTACACTAAACATTATTTATCCCTACGCGTCGCAGCGTACATCACAAATCAAACTAGCACAAAAATACACTGAGTGAAGCTCTGAATTCATCACAATATCATGTTACATTACCCGTCATCATCAACACATAGCTTACGGGACAAAAGACGGGGGATTAGTGCGGTCACACGCGACGAGGCGGGGCGGGTCAGAAAGAGGTGAGGTCACACGCGGCGGGTGAGGTGGGGCTGAGGCGAGGCGGGGCGGGGAGGAGCTGAGGCGTGGCGCGGGGGCGAGGTGAGGCTGGCCAGACCAGGCCAGTCCCGGTGCGGAGCATTGCGGGGCGGGGTGGGGTGGGGCGGAGGAGAGGCGTGGCAGGTGAGGTGGGGAGGAGCCGAGGCGTGGTTGATCGGGCCAGGCCGGGGCTTCGAGGGGGGGCAGGGATGGGGCTTCGGGGAGGGGGGGAGGGCAGGGCAGGGCAGGGCAGGGCAGGGAAGGAAGGGTAAGGGTGAGGTAAGGATTAGGACGAATCCAGGTAAAAAAGTCACAGGAAAAAAAGTCAGAAAATAGTCACAGATAAAAAGCCATGCCCAGTGATGCCCTGACGCCTCTGAGAATGCGTCACACCTCACCTATGTTCGCCCCACACCTATGGGATGTACATGACGCCACCATGAACAACAATGCTCGTACCAACAACAGTTGTGAAGGGTGGAATAATAAGTTGTTCAACCTCGTCGGTCACTACCATCCCTCAATCTGGCACGTCATTGAATGGTTTCAGCTTGAAGAAGCGACAGTGAGCACCATTATCAAGCAGGATGCTGTTGGCAACCCATTTCAAAGAAGAGTTCGTCGACGCTATGTGCAGCTACAAGAACGCCTTCGCAACTTTTGTGTTGTTCGACGGGAGGATCACAAGACTGTAACACATTTTCTTCGTGGCGTCGGTTGGAATGTTACTCATCAACACTAAATATACATGTAGTGCCATGCTATTATGTAAGTTGTTTTCAACGTGTACATGTCATGTAAGTACTTCAATAAATGACTGTTTTAAAGGTTTTTAATAAACTCTGATTTTTTTCGAGTATTTATAATGCTATGACATTATGCATGTTGTTTTCAATGTGTACATGTTATATATTGCCAATAAATGACTGACATATATGTTTTTGTTTCACTGCCTTGTATTGTCAGTTAATAAGCGACTTAAAATACTCTTTGTTTAATTACTTTAATTAGTATCTATGGTGTGTAAAGGAAATGTGACTTTTTTTCCTGTGACTTTTTTTCCTAGCCAAAATTGTGACTTTTTTCTGTGACTTTATTACCGGTCACCATTAGGACAGGGAGGAGGATGTAGGTTAAAAGACATGTTAGGTTATAACAGTTAGTATAGACACGGCTTTCATCACTGAACACAATGGGTACATTTAACACTGACCAACAATCAAGCTGCACTTGGGCTACTGAGAACGTCACAGATCGCGGGGGACACTGAGAAATTACGTTAAGCACTGAACATTGCTAGTAAATATTCGCTCATACCACTACGAGAAACATTCACTTTAGCTGTAAAGATGACACACTAAGACACTTTTCACGCTACTACGCAGGAACTTCTTATTACGCACTTACGAACGATACTCAAACAACGACCCATGTGTTATGGCTAAACGAGGGAGGGCATGGGTTTACGTTAAGTACACTGTTACCAATAACAAGGGAGTAGGAGGGCGTGGGTTAACGTTATAGTTCGCTGCCACCAATATAATGAGACACAATAAACAGAGAAGAAGATATTACATATATAAGGAAGTATAGAGAGTAGCAATGTAAAGATAGGAAGGTTGGGTAGCGTGGCCGCTTGTTATTTACTCAGCGTCAATACGCTATCTTCTTATCTCGTATGTCAATACACATATATTACTTCTTAAAGGGACAACTTGTTAAACACCTCTTCGACACAACTATTTATTAATTCACTTAATGATATGGACACATCAATATCACTATTATATCGGGGTATTAACACGTTAGGTCTAACGTTACTCGACACTGACTCTCGGATACAACATGAATGAATACACTTCCCACAGTAGGTAATTCATCCTCGGGATACTTCTGACAAGACTCACGTGTACCCTGACGTAGGCCCAGTGGGTGCTTGGCTGGGCTGCCGTATGCGATGCTCTCCTTAGCTGGTGACGTCGTGAAGTCTCCCCCCCCCCGACCTGGGGGGGAGGGGACGAGCGTGACTCTGTGTGAGTGACCAGAATGACCTCTCAATGACCAACCTCTCTGAATGATAGTCGTGTGAGAATCACGATGATAATCGGAATCAGAATGATCGTGGACGGGACTGTAGGGTCTTTATATGGGGTCGGCCCAGCAGGCTTTTGACCTCCAACCAATTATCACTAAACTGGTTAGATCCGGATAGTAATAATAATAATAATAATTAACGGTTTATTGAAAGAGCTTGGCAGCCAGAAGGCTGAAAATATACAGTTACATATTTGGGGAATGGGTTTCGAATTACAAATAATATACAAGTAACATAAGTGATACAAATAAGATATATAATATCTAGATGGAGAAAAGCTCAAACTACAGTGCATTTCAACATAGTGACAGTGCAAGAAGTAGTATTTACTGGGAGTGAATACACTGGTTTATTACAAGTTATTGATAACACTGGTCTACAAAATTTTTTTTTTTTTCTGGCATGAAATCTTTTAACTGTTTTTTACTAACTTTAAGGTGCTGAATCCAAATCTCATCTTAGAGTTGCTCCATCACGTAACGTGCCAGAATTTACTGAGCTACCAGAGATTGAGGATATAGACCGGAATTCACCTGTTTCTGCTGATGAAGATGAAGAGACTGATCTTTTCAAGCCATCTGGTGAAGATTGTGAAAAACCAACGTTGTTTACTCAGTCAGAATTGAATGATCTGGTCAGAGATCTAAATTTGCCAAAACAGTCTGCTGAATTGTTAGCTTCCAGGCTTCAAGAGAAACGACTCTTAAAACCTGGCACGAGTGTCTCCTTTTATCGCAACAGAGAAGAGCAACTGCGGAAGTACTTTCATTCATATGACCAGCTTGTTTTTTGTAATGATGTAGAAGGACTTCTTCTCTCCATGGGACTACCAGCATATGATAGTAAGGATTGGAGACTTTTTATTGACAGTTCTAAAAGGAGCTTGAAATGTGTTCTTCTTCATAACGGAAACAAGTATGGTTCAATTCCAATCGGACATTCTGTACAAATTAAAGAAGAGTATGAAAACATTAAGACTGTTCTAGAGAGGTTGCAATACCATGCTCATGAATGGTTAATTTGTGTGGACTTGAAAATGGTAAACTTTCTATTGGGCCAGCAAGGAGGGTACACAAAATACCCTGTTTTCTGTGCTACTGGGACAGCAGGGCTACAGCAGACCATTGGGTGAAAAAGAATTGGCCACCAAGACATAGTTTGACGCCTGGTGACAAGAATATCATTAACGATCCTCTGGTTGACAGGAAAAACATTGTCCTTCCTCCTCTGCACATAAAACTTGGTATCATGAAGCAATTCGTCAAGGCTCTTGATCATAGTGGAGAGTGTTTCAGATATATATGCTCAACCTTTCCAAGTCTTAGCGACGAGAAGAAAAAGGCAGGGATTTTTGATGGACCTCAAATAAGAACACTACTCAGAGATCCACACTTCCTTGCAACAATGACTGAGGCACAGGCAAGAACTTGGAATGCTTTCTCTAATGTGGTGCGGAACTTCTTAGGGAACAAGAAAGCGGACAACTATCAAGAAATTGTGGAAGTGCTGCTCTTGAGTTTACAAGCACTTGGATGCAGAATGAGTATCAAGGTTCACTACTTACACAGTCACTTGGACGAGTTTCCAGAAAATCTGGGAGAAGTGAGCGAGGAGCAAGGGGAGCGCTTTCATCAAGACATTAAAGTAATGGTAGAACGTTACCAAGGTCGATGGGACTCGAACATGATGGCGGACTACTGCTGGAGTTTGATAAGAGACATTCCAGAAGCTGTACATAAGAGATCGGCCAAAACGAGGAAGTTTATGTAACTGTAACTTGATCTTAATACTTGCACTATTTCTACCGTACATTAATTGTTTTTTTTCACCCTTCAATGTTACATTTAAATATTATATGTGCATTAACTTTCCAATTTGATATTAACAATTTTTGATTATAGAAAAATACAAATTATAATGCTGAAAAAATTTATGTATACATGTTTAAACCGTCAATTTTGATCCAAAAGTTTATGTTTCCCAGCAAAAGTGCAATATGGTATATCTCAAAAACCTGATGTGATAGACAAAAACCAAAGTCATATTTGGATTCTGCACCCCAAATTTACTTAAAATCCGTTTAAAAACCTTGTGCCAGAAAAATTGTGTTGACCGGTGTAATTTTTACAATGGTTGGGACTGGGCTGTTCTTATAGCGATCAGTTCGTGCACGTATGGGCTGGATGCGGTTGTGGTGTCGAACAGCAATTCTCGGGCTAGGGATCTCAGGTGGTAGTAGGAGCCGGTGTCGAGGATGGTGTAGAAGCTTGTTTCCAAATTTGCAGATGAGGTCGTGGTGATGGTCAGTGAGAGTCGAAAGGGTCAGTGTGTTGAGCGCTTCTTGATATGTGGAGTAGGAAGGGGAGAGAATAATCTTGCATGCCCTCTTTTGCACTTTTTCGAGGTGTTTACGTTGTGTGGCATTTAGGGAGGAAGACCAGGTAGGGGAGGCATAGGTGAGCTTGGGAAGTATGAATGTTGTGTAAACACTGAGGAGCTCGGGTGCAGGAACTCCGAGGGACTTGAGTCGGCGGAGGAGGTGGAGACGGAAACTGGAGGATTTGACAACTTCACTGACGTGTGGTTTCCAATTTAGTTTGTTGTCTATGGTGACGCCGAGGAGCTTCGTGGAATCTACAACCTGGAGTGTGTTCGGACCTAAAGTAATGGAAGGAGGTGGGACAATGTCGGAGGAGAGGTTGATGTGCATAACCATGGTCTTGGTATGGTTGATGGTGACATGGTTGTTGGTGGCCCAGTTTTGGAGACTGTTCAATAAATCCTGAAGGGCGGTATAGTCGGGAGCAGAATTGTTGACGCTGATCCCAATGATGGAGTCGTCGACATATTTCCAGCGAGCAGGGGTTTCTCTTAGGGCAACATTGATGAGCATAAGGAAGCAGAGTGGTCCCATCTTGGTGCCTTGGGGGACGCCACAGGTGAGTGACTGAAAGGTGGAGATAGCCCCTCGGAAGCGTACAGCTTGGCGTCGGTCACTGAGGAAGTCTTTAAGCCATGGTATAAGACTTCTCCGAAGCCCGAGGTCAATAGCTTTGTTGATGATTATATTGTGGTCGACTAGGTCGAATGCTTTAGTGAAATCAATGAAGGCGACAGCTACAGACGTTTTTCGTTTCTCGAGATGGCGGTATATGTAATCGAGAAAGCTGACAGGACAAGTGAGTGGTGGAGGTAGTTTTCATATTGCCAAATTGCTGAGGGTCTACGACTCCTGCAATATCAGCATAAGCCCAGTCGAACACAAAACTTTCACAGATTAGGCTGGTTATTGGGGTGATTGCAACAGGTCGTAGTTGATTTAAGGATTGTGGGCTGGTTGACTTGTGATACATAAGAGGTCTTCCAGTCAGCTGGGCATCTGGCTTGACTGAGAGAAGCATTGATGATGGAGCATAGGGGTTCAGCAAGCTCCGGGGAGAACTCCTTGAAGAGTTTCATTGGTAAGTCAATGGGGGTGGTAGAGCGTTTTAATTTTAGTTTGTCCAGGCGTTTTGCTACTTCAAATTCTTCTACTAAGTCAGTGGGAAGGGGGGCTGGTAGGTAAGCAGGGAGAGTGGTTGTGTCAAGCCGGGGGAGCGTCTTGCATATAGTAGCGAAATGGTTATTTGATTGCTCAGCTACGTCAA